TAAAATATCACAGCACCCTGCCTCAGTACTCCTCCACAGAGCCCTGCCCCTGATGCAAACAGTGGGCTGGCTCTTGGGAGGAGTTCTGCAATTGTCAAAATACCTGGATGGGTGGGTGTCAGTGTGGAGGAGCGGGTGTTCCCTGGCAGGCTGTATTTGCACGCAGGCCGCCCTAGCATGTGTTGCTGAGCCTTCATGATTGAAAAGAACTGAAATCCAATGCGTTAAAGGGGCGGGCCAGGGGCATTAAGACTGGGGAGGAAAGAAATAGATGATGCTGGACATCCTCCAGCCAGAAATGAGGCAGGCTCTGTGTGACTTGCTGCAGCTTGTAATGCACACTGTGAGAAGCTCCCAGTGTGCAATGAAATCAGAAGAAGCCATTTCAGTGCAGGAGAGGAGCCGGTACAACTGTGCAAGACTGGAGGGAAGGCCGGAGTTGAGTGACCATGGTGCGGCTGCCATTTTTCTTGCAGCCAGTCTTCAACTTGCACATGTGTAGACAACCTGCAGAAAGACAGTTTGCTGCAGTGCTAACATACATATTCATTTTCAATTTGTATCAGGAGTAGGGCTGCAACAATTATTCGATTATGAGAATGGGAGGCGGAGAGACGTGGGGAGGCGGAGAGACGTGGGGAGGCGGAGAGACGTGGGGAGGCGGGAGAGGAGAGATTGTCTTAATGCAGCTAATCGATTAATTGAAAAAAATAATCTGTCAACTAATGGATTATGAAAATAATCGTTAGCGGCGGCCCTAATCAGGAGAGTTGGTGGTGGGAGACGGACGTTTTACTACATATTCAGTTCCATTATTATACATAACTGGGCTGAATAGTGTTTTCTCTTTATTTGCCCCGAGGTCTGTGTTCAGTATCACTGTTTTGTATGTATTGTTCAGGTAAATCTGTGAAGTATGAATGTCTTTCCTGGAATCGGTTTATTTACCAGCATTCTATGTGTGTTTGTTTCCAGGCTAGAAATCTACAGACGGGAGAGCTGGCCGCAGTGAAGATTATTAAACTGGAGCCTGGTGAGTAGTCTGTGCTGCGTTGCTCTACTGCATGCTTTTCCATTGAATGGTTAATGTGTCTCTCGGCGGAGTTTCATTATCCTGTGTCTTCAGCACGCTCGCGGTTTCCTCGCAGGAAGTGTTTAAACAGCTCTGAGACATCAATCTTGTGAAAGCGCCATGGGTTGGAATCCAAGTGCTTTCTTGCCTATAATTTGTTACCTACGACTGTCTTATTTTTTTTATTAACAGGCCTAATGGTCTAAATGTCGCAGATGGTAACCACATAGCATAGGGATAACTGGAGTTTAAAAAAAAAAAGTGCTTGTTTAGTAAATATACACTCACTGACCACTTTATTAGGTACACCTTGCTAGTATTGGGTTGGACCCCCTTTTGCCCTCAGAACTGCTTTAATTTTTCCTGGCATAGATTCAACAAGGTGTTGGAAACATTCCTTTAGAGATTTTGGTCCATATTGACATGATGGCATCACGGGCCCAAAGTGTGCCAAGAAAATATTCCCCACACCATTACACCAGCACCACCAGCCTGAACCGTTGATACAAGGCAGGATGGATCCATGCTTTCATGTTCATGACAAATTCTGACCCGACCATCCGAATGTCACAGCTGAAGTCGACTCGATCAGACCGGCAACGTTCTTCCAATCTTCTATTGTCCAATTATGGTGAGCCTGTGTGAATTGTAGCCTCCGTTTCCTGTTCTTAGCTGACAGGAGGGGCACCCGGTTTGGTGTTCTGCTGCTGTAGTCCATCTGAGTCAAGGTTCCATGTGTTGTGTGTTCAGAGATGCTCTCATGCATACCTTGGATGTAACGAGTGGTTTTTTGAGTTACTGTCGCGTTTCTATCATCTCAAACCAGTCTGCTCATTCTCCTCTGACCTCAACAAGGCATTTTCGTCCACACAACTGCTGCTCACTGGATATTTTCTCTTTATCGGACCATTCTCTGTGAGCCCGAGAGATTGCTGTGTGTGAAAATCCCAGTAGATCAGCAGTTTTTCAAATACTCAGACCAGCCCGTCTGTCATCAACAACCATGCTATGTTCAAAGTCACTTACATCCCCTTTTTTCCCCCCATTGTGATGCTCGGTTTGAACTCCAGCAGGTCGTCTTCACCACTTCTAGATGCCTAAATGCATTGAGTTGCTGCCATGTGATTGGATAATTAGCAATTTGTGAAAAATAAAGACACAGGTCCTTCAAGTTCAACCTTTGTGATTGTATATGAGTCTCTGTGTGTTCCGGTCATAAGAGTACCCCTGTATGTTATGGGCTCTAATGATTTTTGAATGATTCAATACTTTCTTCTGATACCACTGTTTGTAGAAGAGAGTTCCAAGAACAGTCTCTGTAGGTCCAGGCCATGCATCGCATTGTTTATATTCAGGCCTGCTGTGTCTGTACTGTGGTTGCAAACCATAATTGACAGCAAGGAAGTTTTCTGCTTTCACTTTCTTGTTTGATTCAATGTCTTCTGTTCCTGGAATTATAAAAATAATTTCTTTACTGCTCTGCACTCATGTCATCACTAAAGACCACAGACTGCTAGATCAGACAGCCATGTATAGGTTTAACTAAGCCTTGCCAGGTCTGCATCTAATTTTATTACTGACATGGCATTGTGGAAATAACTTCTATAGCAGGGTGGACAAATTATATTGGGGTTCTGAATCCAGTCTGTCAAACCCAGGAGCCAGCAGGGTTTTTTTTTTTAGGAGCCAGCTCCATTGACAACAACTTGAGAAAACCTCAAAAGTCGGCACCGGCTGTAATATTTAAGGAGCATTGGCTTACCTGGCTCCTTGAATTTGTCCAGCCCTGTTCTATAGGGATCACTTCTGTCTTCCTTCAGATCTGGTCAACAGACATGTTCTCTCTACACTGTAGCTATGCTTGTGCATGAGGTGTCTGCATAATATAGTTGTATGCTGCTGTACAACTAGGTTGCAATCCACAGTGTTTTCATGATTGTAAAGCAGCATAAAAACCTAATCTATGACTCCTGGCAGTGAGAACATTGACCCAAACAGGTATGTTAAGTGGACATCTTCCTTGTTCTCATTCCTAGTCAGGTGACTGCAAACAAGGCAATGTTTACACTGGGCCGGGCATGTGATGATAGCTTTCTAAGCACAGGGAAAATGTTGGCTGTAATATGTTTATATTTTTATATTACTTGGTATCGTTCTTTAATCACTCAATTTCCAAAGTCCCTGCACTTCCTTAAGTTCACAGCTGTACAACACCCTTCATTCACTAAAATTGTTTAAATGAATGAAGGATGTTACGATATGCACCTGTAAGGTCAAAGAAGAATCTAACATACACTATATTGCCGAAAGTATTGGGACGCCTGGCTTTACACGCACATTAACTTTAATGGCATCCCAGTCTTAGTCCGTAGTGTTCAATATTGAGTTGGCTCCGCCCTTTGCCGCTATGACATCTTCAACTCTTCTGGGAAGGCGTCCACAAGGTTTAGGAGTGTGTCTATGGGAATGTTGGACCATTTGTGAGGTCCGGTACTGATGTTGGACGAGAAGGCCGGGCTCGCAGTCTCTGCTCTAATTCATCCCAAAGGTGTACCCACAAAGTTGGGAGCATGAAATTGTCCAAAATGTCTTGGTATGCTGATGCCTTAAGAGTTCCCTTCACTGGAACTAAGGGGCCAAGCCCATCCCCTGAAAAACAATCCCGCACCATAATCCCCCTCCACCAAACTTTACACTTGGCACAATGCAGTCAGGCAAGTACCGTTCTCCTGGCAACCGCCAAACCCAGACACGTCCATCGGATTGCCAGACAGAAGTGCGATTCGTGACTCCAGAGAACACGTCTCCACTTCTCTAGAGTCCACTGGCGGCGTGCTTTACACCAAGGCATCCCACGCTTTGCATTGCGCTTGGTGATGTAAGGCTTGGATGCAGCTGCTCGGCCATGGAAACCCATTCCATGAAGCTCTCTATGCACTGTTGTTGTGCCAATCTGAAGGACACACGAAGTTTGGAGGTCTGTAGCTATTGACTCTGCAGACAGTTGGCAACTTCTGTGCACTTCAGCATGCACTGACCGCGCTCTGTCATTTCACGTGGCCTACCCCTTTGTGGCTGAGTTGCTGTTGTTCCCAGTTGCTTCCACTTTGTTATAACACCACTAACAGGTGATCGTGGAATATTTTTAGTAGCAAAGAAATTTCACGGAACGCCTGAATCCAGTGATTTTGGAGGGGCATCCCAATACTTTTGGCAATATAGTGTATGTCCTGTGCTCCATCTCTTTGTTGTTTGAAGTGCAGGTGATTCCAGGGAAGGGTACTGTGAATACTACATCATATGAGGACATTTTAGATAATTGAGCTCTTCCAATCTTGTAACAATTTAGTGAAGACCATTTTATGTCCCACAACTGTGCCCCTGTGTACAAAGTAGGGATGCACCGATACTGAGTATTTGGGCGAGTACGAGTACTGGCCCAAATACTCCGATACTTACCTCCAATACCGGAACATCTGGACAGAGGGAGATCTACCTCTGACCGACAGTGCTGAGTGAGTGTGGAGCCGGGTTCCTTTCCAATCAGGAAGCCGGGAGGTGGGTTATGACCCGCTTTCCGGGTTCCTGATTAGCTAGGAAGCTGGCTTCATTTGTTGCTAGGCAGCTTGGCTTCCTAACCAACCAGAAACCCGGGCGACATGTAATGACCCGCCTCCCAGCATCATGACTGGCTAGACAGCCCCGGCAAGTTAAAGCCGGTTCTTTCGCTAGAACCCCCAGCTTCACAGGCAATCAGGAAGCCGAGCGACGGGTCATGATCTGCCCCCCGACTTCCTGATAATCGGGGTACTGGTATAGGCGGGTACCGAAAAAAATATATCAGTACTCGATACCGAAAAAACTGTATTTGTGCATCCCTAGTACAAAGCTAGCTCCATAAAGACTTGGTTTGATGAGTTTGGTGTGGAGGAACTCAAGTTGCCTTGACAGATCCCTGACCTCAACCCTGCTGAACCCCGATTGTGAGCCAAGTCGCCTCGTCCATTTCAGTACCTGACATCACACATTGGCTGAGTAGGCACAATATTTTGCGTAAAGCCTTTCCCGGCAGAGTGGAGGCTGGTGTAACCTCAGAGTGGCAACTTCATATTAATGCCTATGGTTTTGGAATGTGGAAGTTCAGTAATTTCATATAGGTGTGGTCGGGTGTCCACAGACTTTTTGGCTATATATCATATTGTAAGCTCATCAAAAAACAAAAACCGGAAAACTCAGTTACTTGATCTCTCTAAGAAGAAAGGCTCTCTGCCTCCGTGACAGGGGAGGGGCTGGATTCCCCCCTCCCCGCTCCGACCCGCCAGCGCTGACTGGCAGAATGGACAGGGGAGGGGGCGGGGACAGCTAGATAGGCAGAGCCAGCTGTCACTCACGCAGCTGGGCGGATCCAGACATAATTGTCGGGATCCGCTTCAGCTGCGGCGTCTCAGTATCCCGCGAGCAGTGGCTCGCGGTATACTGTGGCGTCTCAATATACCGAGATCTGTAGCTCACGGTATACTGAGCCTAGGGTGACGGGAGGACGCTAGGTCGTGTCCTCCCGTTACCCTAAGGAGAACTATGGGGAAAAGCCTTAACCCCATAGTTCTCCTTTAACAGTAACTACTCAAGTAATAGCAGGCTTCATTAAAGAGGTTTATTCAGCTCCCGTCTGGTGCCCAGTCATGTGACTGATGGTGAAGCATAGGTCACGTTGCTGCGGGCAGTGCCACTTGGCATTTTCTGTATACTGATACTTTTATTTATTTTTCTTTCTAGCTTCCTCTTTGAAATTGAAAAAAACCCTGAAACTGGTTTGTGAGCTGATCAGTGGAGTGTGTTGTGTAGTTGAGTGTTTGTACTTTCACCACAGTCCCCTGTGTAAGAATGGTCACCTGTGTGTGTATAGTCAGGAAGGCAGCTGATTGTTATGTGCTGCACCCATCAGTGGATGAGTTTAAATC